GTAAAAGAAATAATTAACACTCACCGAAGACGGGGCTGAGATCAGATCTTGCTGACGTCTTGCCTGTCGTCGAGTAACTTCCACCAGCAAGCGAGCCCTTTTCCTGCAAACACACGCATGCACTTAATGGCGACGTCCTTAAGCTGTCACGATCGAGTGGGTGGATCAAACCAGAGACGCGTTACGTTGCACACGACGATCAAACGAGGAGAAATAAGAAAGAACACATTGTACCATGCACACTAGTTTAGTTCTACTAATAAATAATGTAGCAGAGTTAAAAGATTCGTTGATAATATCTATACATATATATATATATATATATATATAATTTTTTTTTTGAACCGACGCACCTCAGATTCTGTGAGGTCGATGAGGGAACTTTTCTCCTCCGTGAGGTTCTCGGAGGACCTCTTCTCGTCCTCGCCCTCATCCTTGAAGACCTTGACCTCGTCTTCGCTGCCGAGATCGTCGCCGCCGCCGCTGCTGCTCACGTGCGGCATTATTGCTGGCCGAGCGACGGCCACCGTCTTTCCTGTCTTCGTCGTTCGGCGACTTAACACGAGAGGTGTGTCCGCCTCGAGTCACGGAAGAAAGAGAGGTTAGGCAGCCGATACGGCTGACGCGGGAATTTTGAAATTTGGTCCTCGATGCAGCGTGAATTGCACAACGACACGGGATACAACACAAGCAAGCGAATAACCGAAAACGACAGAACACGCGTTCGATCAGAAGACGCGACACTGCTCCGTATTCGTCTTCTTCTCTTATCTTCTTTTCTCTTCTTATAACCGGCTCAACGATGATCCGTCGGAACAGCGTTGCACGCTATCTTTCTCTCGCTCGCACAATTATGTGCTCCTCTGTCACGCGCACACGAGACTAACGCGACGAAAGAAGAACGCCACCGACGCGACAGACAGGCACTTCTTCCCTCGGTCTTCTCTGTCACTAGTACCGCACAAGAACGTAGAATACGAAAAAATTGAAATGGATAACACAGAGCACAGAGAAACGGTTCACCGTCACCGTCACCTTCGCCTCCACCACCGTCGCCACCGTCGTCGACGGAGGAGGTTAGGCTTCTATTCGATACACACTTTTTCTTTCTTCCCTTTTCTCGTGAAGGGCACAGAACGAGAACGTTGCACCGTAAGTATACAAATAAACGCCGCGGTAAGATGAGATTTCTCGGAACACGAAATAGAACGCACCACCAGTCAACACAAAGATGGTTATTACGCTTGAAGGACAATCACATTGATCACAAACGAGACACGCGAGAAAGGCAAAGACGACAAACAGGCCGGCAACGAGCCTGAAGATTTAACGGCCGACGCGTGTTCCTTGCGTATTAACCGAAACGTAATCTCGGCGAAGATACGGGAGGACCGCGTGGGAAGGCCGGCACACACTAGAGTGGAGTGAAGGAGGTGCGATATATACACACGACCGATGGAAAACGAGGGGATAAGGAAAAAGGTAACGGTGGAACGTGTGCGATGTAGGTTGAGTTGTGTTTTAGAATGGCCCCTGGACCCCGTGGTGTGTGTCGTTATTTAACGCGCGCGCTGCCAGCAACTTTCCGTACGTCGTTGTCGTGTATGTGTGTATTGTGTGTTTTTTCCTCTTTTTCTTTCGTTTCTTATTGCGTGCATCAGGCGCATAGTCCGCGCGCCACGTATCCGCACGATGGTGGCCACGATGCCTTAGCGAGCGCGCGATCCTGCTGCAGATGTTGTTTCGATTCCGTATGCAGGTAAATACGAAGAACACGCGCGACAAATACGGCACCACGACGACGGTGACGACGTTGCTGTTGTTCTTGCTGTTGTTGTTGACGGTGCACGCGCCGGACGGCCATCGTGCCCGTGGTTACGTTCCGAGGTGCGTGTTGCGTATCTCGCCCCGACTCCGATGGCTCGATGTGCTCTGCCTGGATGCTCGGTGCCGACTGCCGGTCACGGTGAGCTCGGGCGGGCGGCTCTCCCACGCGACGACCAATCACGACGCCGGATTCACCGCCGCGGCTTCCCTCGCCGACGCGCCACCTCACCCCCACCCTCACCCCCCGCGAGGCCACGGCCGGCCAGTCATGGCAGGCAAGGCGGCGAACCGACCCCACCCGAACCTTTACGAATTCACCCGAACTCCTAGCATCGTCTTCGTCGTCGCCGCCGCCACCATCGGCCGCCGCCACCGCCACCACCGCCGCCGTCGCTGCCACCGCCACTGCTGCTCCCACCGCCAGTGCCACCACCGCCACCGCCACCACTGTTACCGTGACTCCTGCATGCCGTTTTCGTCGTACGAGAGGATCATCTACGATTCTCCTGTCTCAATTCTTCACTCACTATACTCAATCACTTATATTCTAATAAATAATAAGCAAAAACGTTTATCTTCTATCAAGTTCCATTTGCAATTGTCAGATTTATCGTCCTTTCTTTTTTTATTAAATTCGAATTATACCGCGAGGATCTCAGCACTGCGCTCACTGCACTCACTACACTCACTACACTCGTTGATTTTTTATTGTTTTCTAGTCATTATTTGTCAAGTAGATTACAATTTCAATCATACATAGACAAATGCCTTATTGATTAATTAATCTAGAAACAGAAAACGCAATTGAATTTATATGCTTATATGCTATATATATAAAGTAAAATCCTTAACCTCAAAAACTATAATTTATTATAATTGAAGACAAGAATCGGCAAGTTTGTATCAATCGATGCTAAATGACTTTATGCAAAGTGCAAATTTCTCTACGATATTCGTTCTACCTCGAAATCTTTCTCGAACGAAGGAAACTCGTTTGTGAATTTTTCTCCGATGCCGGTTGCACGTTTCAAAGTCGACCCTATAAATTATGCGTCCGTTAAAGTAACCTTTTTATCCTTCTCGGTGACGCCTCTGTCTTTTTCTTTCGACGCAAGCGTAGAATTTAACGAAACGATTCCACGTTTAATGCCGCTTTTCGTGAAAATAAAAGTGGCGCTGGCAATCGCAAAATACGCTTCTCGTCCAAGTCTGTTACAACCGTTAAGGCAGGTGCTCACGTGATTTCTTTATAGCCGCGGGTGAACGATAATTTATGATAATGTATGCGCTGGCCACTGTCCTATCCGATTTCCGTATTTAATTAAAATCTGAACAAAAACACAAGTCCCCTTATTAGCCGGTAACAAAGCTGACTTTCGTGCCATCTTTGAAACCACACGGTAAAGAGAAACGAGTCGCGTGCGTATATGTGATCCGGCACCTTATATCAAAATAAGCATAATGAATTTTAGATAGATCAAATAACGTGTCTCGCACTCCAATCATGGACATTCGTTCGAATAGTAAAACATCATATCTCTTTAATATACGATCGTGCTCGATTATTTACACGCAAGCATAATACTCGTATTAATAACCTCAAACATCAGAATCACTGCGCCTAGTGCCTTTGTTAACTTTCGCGTTAATTATTCGTAGGACAACGAACACGACTCATGCTTATGTGTTTCTGGATTAACGTGTTTGTAAATTTTCTACTGGCTGTATAAATCTTATCAACAAATTGCAATTATGAAGCCTGCACGAAATTGTCCGGTAAGCACTTTTACTTTTAGTTACTTCGCGTGAATCATTTTCGTACTATATATTCTTGAAAAGTTACAAACTAGTTGTGATAAAAAGTAAAAATATAAGGGAAAAAAGTATTAAGAAAAGAAAAAAATAAAAAAAGACGTACCAAAATTTGAAACTTGGATCTTCTGATGAATATCCTGATACAATGAAGACAATTGTCCAATGCTTTCGATATCTTGATGACGTCATAAAAAAGTATTGCAAATTAAATATATATTAATATAATAATATATATAATAATAATATAAAAACAATATATTAAAAAATTTGTTATGAATTTAATTATTACTTTAAAAAAAATAATAAATAAAATATTTTTATTTCTAATAGAAATTGTGTAAAAAATGGTTCATAAAGATTTTTGTCACATTTCACGTAGAATACGTACCTACGTTTGGCGCCTTTTTTGACAGCACACCAATCACGTGAATACTTGACTGATTATACGTTGATCGTTGACAAAGTTATATTTGTTATTGCGATTAATAACATTTCACGATATCACTTATCAATAGCTTGACAAAAATAATGAATTATGTTAAAAAATATATCTATGTACTTCGTATAGATTGGATTACTGATGAGATGGTAAAGGTATGTTATCAAACGAACTTTCATTAAAATTTTATTTAATTATCGTTTTAATCGAAATATGAAATCTGCATATTGTCCTAAATGTAATTAAATGTAAAATATAATTGTATAAATTGCTTTTATTGTTCGTTCATTCGCGACTATAATCACACTAGAGAATCATTGAAGATTACACGAAAATTTAAGCAAATGCAACGAGTATCGAATAGACAAGAGATTTTATAAATCAATCGATACAAAGCACAATTATTCATAATAAATGACATACTGCAAAATATATTTTTAATTATAAACGTATCTATCTACAGTACACACTTCAATTTTTTCAACACGATCAAAATGTCGTCACCACAATTGAATATTATAACTGAAAATCTAAAATGGTATCGCAGAGACATCTATGCTAAAATCGATATTTAATGAAATCTTGGTTATGTCATGTTGATAACGTAACTTCTCTACTATATCGACATTTACCAATACATTGTACAAAGTGTTAATATATTCGTAGAAAATCTTTGGAGACTCGATTCTAAAAATGATAAAAAAATGTTGCTTAAAATTTATTTATTAAATTATAAATTGAAATTTGCGTTAAACAAAACGAGACAGAAATAAAGTAAGCCTTATTTCTTTCTCTATTCCCTTCATCTTACATAATAATAATAATTCAAAATTGAATTATTTATAATTTAATAATAATTCTTAGTCGATGTTATATCAATGTCCAGATTTCTAAAATCGATTCTTTAAAGAACTCACAAATATATTAATATATATATGTATACATGTATAATACCTAAATAAATGCATTCACATATACATTTTTTTTATTATATAAAATTATTATAAATTCATCTATAATATCTTTATGATATTTTTCAAACATATGCATATTTCATACGATTAATTATATATTCCATGCATTTCATTAAGTTCAATAATAATACAACAAATGCTTAATACAATAATGCGCTTGGTTATATTGGAATATTTCATTTTTCACAAATTATATAGCACTTTTCCTTCGATCCGTTTGATTTTTCGTACCAAAGTGTTTTGGAAACTTATGTCCAATACCGTACGGATAATGAGTCATCCTTAATTGCAGCAACACTTGTTCCAACAGTGTCTTTAACTCCACTTTATCGTTGTCGTTGTTATTTTCGCGCCCACTGAAAAAAAGATAGGGTTTTCTAAGCCGCCCTAATTTTGAATCGTCGTTCAATTAAAGCGGTAAAGTGGTCGGCGGTTGACCGCTGCGCTGACCAAACTTTACCCAATTGTTGCACGACAGTGTTATGTCCACCTTTCGAAGCGGCGCGAGTTTTCCGTGGCGAGCAGGAACAGCGCTTCTCTCAGTCTGGCCGGGATGCCGGGGAATGATTCGTGTAAATAACATTTGCGATAACCGAACGTAATTTTTGTGGGAATGCCGCGCCTCGAGTCTAGCGGTCTGGCCAACCGAGGATGTAGCCAATTGCCGCGAAAGATTCGATGTGATGTCAGCCTTTCTAAATGGCCCACGAACTCGGCCTGTTTCAGCAATTGGCGAATGTGACCCTGGATTCGCGCAATTACATCTCCTTATATCGTACATTTGATCTTACGTGGAAATTAAATTTTAATAAAAAAAGAATCGTTAGATATATTCTTGAATTGTTGTTCCCCTCTCTCGTCCGAGAGAAAAGGAATTTTATGAAAATGAAAAGAACGAATTATTAATCCCTCGTTACAGGCCTCGACAATATTTCTCCTTCATTGAAGAGAGAGAGAGAGAGAGAGAGCGTGTAAAAGTAAAAGGATCCGTACCTCCTTCTCGAGACCTTGGATGTCGTTGACCGCGAGGCCGATCATCAAGTTCATCAGGACTATACTAGCGAGCATGACGAAAGCAAGGAACACGACCCTGCTCGTGGCTGTTAGGAAGGAACTCCCATTCTTCTCGTCCGAGAACAGATCCCCGTACTCGTACTCACCCATCATCATTACCACGGTCTTCACGACGGCCCTCCAGGAATTGCGAAACTGGTCGTTCCCGTGGAACAAAACGGCGAAGCTGAACGCGAATCCGACAATCAGGCAGACGAACGCTAGGAGAACCTGAAAGGAAATAAAAAGCCCCAGATGCACGTTGTTATAATCGCGGGAGAGGGTGGTAGGGCTGCGCGAAGTGTAGTAGGGGTAGGCAAGTGGGTCCTGATGGCCTGAGCCGTATCACCGACCATTTAGAACCTTGCTTCTTCCCCTCCCTCTCTTCTCTTTAGCTTTTCATTTCTAACGATATTCGCCGAAGGGAGGAGGAGCTCGTCGCTCTCTTGTTGTACCTTTCGTTTCGGCTAAATGCGGATCTTTTCGTCGTACGGATGGAATTAAAAAAAAAGAAGAGAGAGAAGAAGAAGAAGAAGAAGAAGAAGAAGAAGAAGAGAAAAACCTCGACATTAAATCAGGGTTAACGTTACCCCTCTCCTCCCTGTTGAAACTTGGATCCCGGTGTGCTCCTACGGTGTCGAATGTGGCTGCTTTTTATTCGCGCCCGTTTAACGTTCGACGCGCTTTAACGAGGGAAATTGGGAGGTTCTTCCTTCAACTCGTCGGGCATTCCTCGTTACTTTTTCTCCTCATTCGATCCACGGACGAATGGGAGAGGGGGATTATTACTCGCATCGCGAGCGGCAAATCACCGTGGTTGATTGCTTACTGACCTTCAGAATATTCTTCAGCACCGTGGAGAACATGAGCGCATAATTTCCGCACATTGGGAGGCGACCGATTAACAACATCATTTGCATCCAGGCAACGAGGATCGCCAGGCTGACGGAGTGCAAGATCCACTGCGGGGGGTGTCGGGATCCGTTTAATCCTTTCTCCCCTGTCGTTCCGTAATCTTCGCTCATTGAAATCGTGAACGATATCGTGGAGGACGCGAACGACAGCCACGTCTCTAATTGTCTCAAATAATATCTATAACGTTGTTTTTTTTTTTTCGTTTTTAAATGAAGATCAAAAAGTGAGATTAAAAACTGTTCGATCAATGCTTATATCTTATCTTATTTATTTTTTTGTTCCAATTGCAAACTAACTTAGGCACCATCAACACCTGAATCGTGTAATGAAGGAAGATGACTGTTGAACAGGGAGCGAGGATTCTTCGTAACGGGGTGCAATCAGCCTGGTGGTACTGTATCGTTATGGAGTAACCAGACAGGGAAAGGACCAGCAGGGCGTGGATAAAGACGAGAGTGAAGAAGAACGCTCTCAGCTTGGACCACTTCAGCCGGAGGAACGTTTCCACCAGTGGATGTTGCAGTATCGTCAATTGTTCCACGCTCGAGGCTGCTGCAATAAGGGACGTAACTACTCCCATTTGCAGCTCCCCTTTTGGCGCTAGCACGTCGAAGTCAACCATGATCTTTGAACAGATTGCGGTGGAATGAAGGGAAACATCTTTGGACATATTTGTGACCACACTCGTCGGTTAGAGAAACTTTACCTGAGAACTTTTGTTGCAATTCATTTTCACGCAGGAATCGAGGATGTCGTTCAGGAAGAGGACCGGTGTCGGTATGTGGGCGAATATCGCGTCGATCACGGTGACCCCGCTCTTCGTTTTCGCGGCTAAATTTCCACCGTGACCGATCAATATCTCGACGCATTTCGAATTTCCTTGGTAAGATGCTCTGTGCAATGGCGTTCGATCAATCTGTGTAACGCATTAGCGATGAAGAAGAAGAAAAACAATTATACATATATATAGTCGTTGTGAAAGAACGTTGGAAATGTTAAAAAATGGGAGAATAATATATACGTTATCTCGTATATCGATGTGATCAGAAGATATGCTCTCTAGAAGGATCGAAAGTATCTCTGGGTTACCCGTATTGGCAGCCAGATGAAGAGGAGTACTTCCTGTGCTTTTGCATCGATAAAGAGGACATGCACCGCCGTTCAGTAACCATCTCGTTGCCAAGAGACTTCCTAGCAAGACTGCAGAATGTAATGCAGTGGTATCTGTACTTTCAAAGAAAAAAAAAAAAAGAAAAAAAAGGTAAGAAAATTAACGACGAATTTTCATGATCGATACCTTTGCTATGCGCTTGATCTTGAAATAATTTTAATAACACAACTTTACAAAAAAACAGGAATCTTGGGATTAATGATCCGCATTGAAATATGATTCGATTTTTATGCAATACCTGTATCAGGATGAACGACGTTGGTAGAAGCATTTGCGGAAACGAGGATCTCGATGATGCAGTTATATTTGGAAATCTCGTTCGAATCTTCTTTCTCGACTTTGGACCCTGCTAAAAGCAACGGTGTGATCCCACGATCGTCTCTAACGTTCACGTCGGCCCCACCCTTCACCAAGATCTTCACCACCTCGGGATGATTGTTCTTCACCGCTTGGTGCATCGCCGTTCTTCCCCAACATTCTGGCGTAGGCAGCTAAAGGAAAATCGATTTTTAAGCGTCGATAAATTCATTTACGAAGAGCACACTAACGTTTCGACCGATGTTGAGCGGGCTCGAAGCGGAGCCAGGGATTTTCTTGTAGCAAGCCTCTATCCCGACCCTGTTCTCCGTGTAAGCCCCGTGCTCCAACAGCCAATTCACCACCTCGTGATTCCCGCGATGCGCCGCGTGAAACAGCGCGCATCTCCCGATCTTGTCCGTGGCGTTGACATCGGCCCCGTTCTCGCACAACAAATCCAACAACTCGATCTCACCCTGCCAGGCCGCCAATTGCACGGCCGTCACGTAGAACACGCCCACCGGTTTCAAGAATTTCTTATCGAATTTCTGTTCGGTGAAGATCCGTATCGCCGTTTCCGCGTCCCCATTTTCGATCGATGTGATCAATTTCAACCGGTCGTCGTCGCGCGTATTACACATCTCCGCTTATTATTGCATTCCACACGCGCGCATCACCTCCTTTTGTACCGACCTGTTTATCGACAACGGTTTAAATATCACAGGATGTGGTCAATCACAAATCTACGCCATTGTCGCTCCTAATAAATTGTTATAAACCGCCTCATTATAAATCGCGTGATAACACCTCGAAAGATATCCCAATTTTATTTTCGCACTCTCCTCTTCGATCGGTGTAAACAAACTTTAACCATAAATTGCTTCACGCACAAAAAAAAAAGAATAAAATGATCGTCGTCAAAATTTCAGATATCACGCTTATTCGTCACTTTTCCTCCGATCTCTATCTCACCCCAACCTCGAGTTCTCAACCGTGTACCGTAAAACCGGGCTCGAATGCTGGTTCGGTTGCATTCCAAGTGCAGCAGCTATATCCGCCCCGTTATTTGCGTATTGTATACGCGCGAGTATATCGGCTCTGCCCGCGTTGAATACTCATGAACAGCCCTGTTACTTGGGTATGCGCTTTCGATAACGAATCTGTCAACAATGGATAACGGGATCGGCTCGAGCCGATTCATTGGTCGAGGAAGAGCTGGGATATAGTCCTCTCGAGAGACCGTTACGAGTAATATACCTGGCCGGACGCACACACCGCCGTCGGAAGACACTTTCGAGTCTGGCCGCATGTTCACGCGCGCGCCACGCACATCCATCCGCGTAGTAGACGCATGGAAGACGAGCGCGCGCACGCACAGATACCAGTTTTCGAAGCGACCTTAACACGGGTTTCTCGCACGCGCGCACACACGCGAGGCCGGCACGTTAACACACGTTCGCGCGCTCAATCAACTAGAGAGAATCGCGTTACCTTGCAGAACGCGGGCCCCAGTACGCGCTTGACCACGCTGTCGAGAGGAGGCTGTTCGAACGCACCAGTTACACGGAGAAGATTTCGATATGCCCAACTGTCCGAAGTGCGACAAACCGGTCTATTTCGGTGAGTGGAGAGCAGCGGTTGGAAAGAGTAATCGAGTTAAAGGAATTAAAGGATAAAGTTACTTGAATTCGAAATGCTCGAACAACGTTCGTGGCCCGTTGTATTATCGTATTTGAATATTATACGTACAAACGCCTCGACCGTTTGGCATCGCAATTACTTGAACGATCAATTGTTCGAAGTAGCTTTATTCGTGACTTGATTAAATTTTAAACGGTGGAGGGAGATCGTTTAAACCCCTTTCGGCATAGGAAGATTTAGATTGAAAGACTATATCTGTATTGCGAAGGAAACAAAAGTAGGGAATAAAAATTGAGATGGCAATAATAAATGTTGCGCTATTTGTGTAATTGAGGTGGCGAGTGAGAATCTAGTGAGTAAATTTTGTTACTATTTCATTATCGTCGTATTTTTGTCTTCTCACGTTGAAATATCTTATCTGGGATGTTTTTTTTATTTTTTTTCTTTTTTCAAGATATATATTTCATATATACGTTTTTTTTATCTCTCGAGCAAAATTACGAAGATTTATATATATATATATATATTATAATATAAACGGATAAAGAAGATGATAAAAGATTTTAAGAGATATTGGAAATATCTGGAAATGCTAGATTATTACATTTTAATTAAGAAGATTAATGGAATCCTATTAAGGTATCACAAAGTGAAAAATTCGTTTGTTGGAATATTTCCCCCCCCCTTTTTTTTTTTTTTTCCATTCCGATATTGACAACACTGCAGCAATTTTTTTCCTATTAAATCTATAAAGTAACGTTCTCTATGTTTTATTAATTCAAATTTTATGATCATATCGCGACAATTGGATGCTTGTTCTTAGATATCGTTACGAGTTAAGTGAGAGAAGTAACGAATTAAAAACGCGAAATTAAAAAAAAAGAAAAAGTATTTTAGAATTATTATCGAGATGCTAAAAATACTATTACGTAATGTATTATCATTTCAAATTACATTTTTATGTTCTGTTTTCAAGCGTGCACTAAAATTATCGCCGTATATGAATCATAAGTAATATGATCATAAAGTTTGAACTAATAGCGGAGAACGATGTTATTATAACTTACACGGTCGAATAGAAGAAAAATTGTTACGATCCAAAGGAAAAAATTTTACGTAATTACTTCACTGTCACCTCGTTAAAATTAAACTCGTTATTCCATATTATTATTATTCATTGCCGAAAAAAGAAAAAAAAAAAAAAAGGAATTTAAATTTCGAATCAAAACTTTTCGATCAGAATTAATTTTATTCTTTTATATATGTTTCGAGAAACGAAGTTGGAAGTTGCGCTTAAATATTCCGCTAGTTTGCATACTTTTTCCGTAGGATGAGTAGTATTTACGAGGAAAATCGATCGACACAATCGACAATAATAAACATCGGCGCCTGAAATCCTGAAATCTCTAACATACATTCTCGCGATTCTCCGTGAAATTGTGCCGTGCTGCACATCCTGCCCCAGGAAATTCGCGTCACGATGATGTGCGCGAAAATGACGACACCACATGATGTCATTTCACGTTCCTCCGGGGTCCACCTTGACAAACATTACGTCAACCTCGTCCTCGTGGTAGGAAGATCGTGGTAACACGAGACACTGGAGGAAGGAAATTTTATACGATGAAACGTATCGTGCGTGTATTCGTACGTGCTGTCGATCGAAATCGTTGATATAGGCGAGGCAGTGGAATCAGTTTCTTCCGATGGATAGAATAGGCGAGTAGTTTTTAATCTTCGCAGAGGATCGTTGGAGCACGCGTTGTGTTGTGTTTAGGGTTTACAATGTCGATTCCGATATTGTATTATATCGTATTGTACTCTTGATATAATAACGTTGACGAGAAAAGGTATTTCATTATCGCCGTGTCTTTATCGCCGTCGAGTTGAAAATTGTTGAACGTTCTCGAAAGTTAATGTCTCACCGTTCATTACACGCTATCTATAAAATTACAATTGGCAAACGAATTATGCAGTTATTATTGTCAAGGCGATTTTTCGGTCGCGAATATCGCGTCAACCGTTTTTCCTTATCATCGGGACTCGTCGGTGAACGATTCTCATTTTTACGATATACGAATATTCAACGATTTTACGACGGTTCTTCACTTTTTCGTCTCTTTTTCTTAAATTCTGATCACGGTTTTAAAAATTAGAGATATTCAATTAGATGCTGCTCGATGCTATCTTTCACCCGTTTTAAATCGTTCGAAAAAACATCAAATCAATTACAATAATCGGAATCGATGCTCCTGCCTACAAGTTCTCCTCCTCTCTTAATTCCCCCCTCAAAATCGTTACAAAATGATTTTAATACACTCTACCCTACTTTCGTTCATTCTTATCGCCCAAGAAGATTCTCCAAAAAGGAAAAAAAAATACAACCGCTCGACACTCCTCCACTTATCGCGGCCGTTTTTCGCGAAGGGGTCCTGGCGATAACCTTATCATCGGCCAATCACCGGCTCGCGCTTCCCCTCGCTCTGGAGGGCAGATAAACGTGCGTCGGATAGCTGGTTCCCTTCGGGCGGCCGATGTTCCGCTCGCTCGCCCAGAGCCATCGCATTCAGGGAGGTTCGCTTTTAATTGCGCGCTTCCTCTTTCGAGCGGCCTTTTAGACGGCCCGTTAAAGCACTATTAGCGCTGAAAGCGGATTTTTCTGAATGGACCCGCGTGCACGGCTTTCAGAGATCGGGCCAAGTAGGTGCGCGGGAAATGGATGCGAATTGCAGGGGCGAAGCGTGTATCGCGCGGAGAAGAAGCGTTATTTACGTTTCGAAAGGGGGCAGAGTGGGTCATTGGCCTGTGACCGGGCCCCGTCCACGGGCCCCGCCCCTAATCGTTTCCCTCGAGATTTTCGTCGCTTTCGTTCAGATATTGCGGCAGATTCGCGGTCAATTCTTTCTTTGGATTATTCCAACTCGACTATCTTTAACACCGATTCGACTTCTACGACACAGTGTCGATAAATCAAAGATCGAATTGGCGGCCTCGATCTTACGTGACGTGAAATATTCATTCATTCACTAGAGTATTACACTTTTTTAAATCGCAACAAGGTTACGTTTCGTTTCGTTGGGAAAAATTCCGATCTTTGAATTAATCACCGAGCAAACAAAGTAACTTTTGAGGGCCGGCATTCTACGTCGAGCGAAAGATAGAAGAGCTCTGCTTTTTTTTCCACCCCCTTCAAGACAGCTCTTTGAGAAACTGGGCAGGGGGGATTCGCTCTCAAATAAATTAGGTTCAAACGATTTCGTGGCATTTGGCAATTCGGTGATTTTTCTTTTTTTTTTTTTCTTACGAATATTTAACGAAAGTTGAGCAGAGCGACCATTTCCACGCGACTGATTTCGACTCGATTGAAACTGCAAAGACAAAAAGACAAAGAAAGATTTCTCGAATTCCCGTCACGATCTCACGATTCGTTAGTCGGTAGTGAAAGCGAGCAAAGAGGTATTTCCACGAAATATCAAGATTCTACGAAATGTGATACGTAGAGCGAGTATTCCTTCTTTCTGTTCGGTAATGGCGGACCGAATTGGGGAATGAATGCCATCACTGTGACCGTTTTCGAGTTTCAAAGCCTTCTTGTCTCGAACGCGATCCTGCCGGGGTATTTAGACCTAACTTCTCCAATATAATACACACATAACACACGTAATAAGAGAGAATCTCTTGAGAGAACAAGAAAATTTGAAAATTACAATTCCAAAGATCAGAATATAATCAACCCGTCTCTACGAGTTTATCGAGTGCCCCATTTTTTTCTTCCCTTCGACCATTCTCCTAAAATAATAACACAGAAACAACACGGAGAGGAGTATTCCTCTTTCGAACGCCTCTCGCATAAAGATCCCTCGTTAATCCATCGCGTGCGAGAGAAGGCGGCGTAAAGAGGGCTCGTAGACAGGCCTCCTCTGTAACGAGCCGGGCAAAAAGTTCTTGGCTCGCTTGTATATATACACATATATATATATATACACATACACCATCGCGGATCCGCGACGGACGAGTTGCAGGAGAGGAGGGGAGGGGGAGGATAGGGGTGGAAGTGAAACCGAGTCACGTCGTTGCATCGAGAGCGACAACAATAAAGTGTCCAGCGGCGAGGAGGGCGACGACAAGACACGGAAGAGGGGGAGTGTATCGGGTAATAATAAGAAGAACAGAGAGGAAACAGGTTTGGGGAGAAGAATAAGGCGGACGAAACGAAGGAAGGGGGAGGAGGAGGAAAAGAAGGGAATAGCCACGCTCCTCTTCCCTTCTTCACCCTTCGTTCGTTTCCTTCCTTCCTTCCTTCCTTCGTTCGTTCGTTCGTTCGTTCGTTTACGACGTCGCGCTCGATGGGGGAGGCACGAGAAGTTTTTCAGAGGCTCCTTTCCTGGATAAGAAAGAGAGAGAGAGAGAGAGAGAGAGAGAGAGACGTCAGATCGGCTAGTTTAGAAAGAGTCGGCAAAGAAAAGAGTGAG